CTTAACTACTCTTACCCACAGACTTAATCTACTGTGATATTTACAAAAAATGATGTAAAGGGCCGACGGTTTTTATCTGTATCTTTTAGATTCTCTATATGTAAAGTGAGCACCTACATTTGGTAAAACATTCTGAAATACCTAAAATACCCTTCTCTAAGAAAAAAATTCAACAAAAAATAGCCAAATATATTACGGATAGCTTAGTAAGATGACACAAATAAGAAAATAAAGAAATTAAGTAAAAAAAAATCGGCGTCACTCACGTACAGACCATGTTTGGGGGAATGTTTAGAATGATCATCCATTGGATAAAACACACCCGCAGTTGAGATAAATAATGGGAATAAAAGTCATAGACTCAGCTTGGGAATATACGAAGGAGGACTACTCGAAATATTTGAAGGAGGATTTAAGCATTGTTTCTTATTATATCATTTCATTACGTAACTATATAATGGGAATAAAAGTCTTAGACTCAGTAATCCTAGAGTAGAGTCTAGTATGACTAACAACTAAGTAAACCAACTATTCAATTAATCATATCAATAACTATATAAATTATTCAACAATCAACAATTCAATTATTCAGTAATTAACAATTTCATTCATCAATAATCAACAATTTCATTCATTAATAATCATATTGTGGATGCAAATTTCCACATTCCTTTGATTGACGAATCTCTTGACATAGTCCCGGAGTGACTCATTTGGATTCTTCTTGATGTTGAAGAGATGATCAGACTTCTCCTTGATCGAGTGGTAGGATGAGTACTCTTTAGTGAAAACTACGGAAAACTCATCAAAACTCCGGATGGACTATAGAGGCAGGGTATGAAACTAATCATGTGCCTCGTCCTGCAAAGTAGTGGCGAATATCTTGCACATTAAGGCGCGTTGGCACTGTAAAGGATCATCATGCTGCGATAGTGCTTCAAGTGCCTTTTCGAGTCTCCATCTCCCTTGAATAGGTGAAATACGGCGTATTGAACTTACGTGGAGGTTCTGTCTGCTCGACCTTGTCCGTGAGAGGTGATTTACCCATGTGTGCCACATCCTTGTGAAGGGCTTTGTCTGTGGTCTCGATGTGCTGGAATCCGTGCAATCGCTCAGTCAGGAGCTTCTCTACTTCTTCTTGAATTTTCCTCTATCGAGACATCAGGGCTTCCGATTGCCCCAATCATGACCTGCTAGTCTCGGATATTCTTCCTTATGCTTGGCTTATCTATGTCGTGGCTGCTGTGCATGTAGTACATTCATGGCAGGCTAGCAGATTACTCGTAGGCTGCTGGTTGAACTTGAGTCGGATTGTGTGACTGCTTCTCCCTGTCTGCCAAGCTGCCTACTCTGATGTGAGGTGGAAAATTATCATTGCGGGCCTAGCCGTGTATGAATACTTTGCCTGGAAGGTTGCCCATGTCGATTATTGGAGTGTGGCCCCAACCGTAAATGTTTACTCGTCCAGTGGCCTAACTGAGAGTGCACGATCCTCCGCTCGCTAAGACGAGAGTCTAAGCTATCTCGGAGGCCGAGGTGGAAGTGTACACTGCCATAACGCTCGGTTTGTGGTTGGTCGAAGGGTTGTTTGTTAGGACGTCGGTTGAGAGAAATGTCATCGTCTACCCTTATCCTACTTCTAGACACCTTATTCGGGGTACAATGTATCTCGGTACGCTGCAAGAACTGACTTACTAAGGTAGTCTGCTGCACGAGGGCGTTTGTCAGCTTGCGGGACTTGTCGGGATAGGTGTTATTTGCCATTTAGAGTGGAAAAGTCGGGACGGTAGACGTCTGCTTGAGTTGTGGAAGTGTAAGGGAGTCCAGGTGCAAAGCTTGACCCATCATGAATCAAATCTATAGTAAAGTAGGGTGAAAATACCATTGGTTCAATCGTTGGCCTTGGGATATAGATCTAGGGTGGTTGAACTGATTTTAGACCATGCTGAACCTTTTAAAGGGTTGTGGGAGCAGGTTAGGCGCATGGGCGTTGGGCCACCTCGGTTGGCGTGGCTTGGGCTGCCTCGGTGTGGGCAGCTCACATCCAAGTAAAGGTGGCAGACGCTAAAGGCTGTTGTCGAGGGCAAGAAGCCTTTAAACATAACATTTACATTGCATGCTGGCTGCTTGCGTCGTGGGCCTCCTGCACTAGGATTTCTTTGCATTGAGCGGAGGTTGCCCCTTGGGCAACTACAGCGGCGGTTACCGCTGCTAGTATAACCATGGTACCTTATGGTGGTAAATGTGCAGTCTTTACCATGGCAAGCCTCAATGAGCAATGGCGTAGAGCCACGTCACGATCTCCATCGGTTAGTCCATGTCCTTCAACGTATAGGGTCCCATTGGTTGTAGTTTTTGAATTTTCTGCCATCATAGTCGTGGATCTATGAACGAAAGAAATTGAAAACGAGAGTTTTCTTCGAGTTTTCGGATCAGAGCTCTCAATAAAAGTACCAATTTGTGGATGCAAATTTTCGTCTTCATTTGATTGACGAATCTGCACCTGCAAAATAATAACACCTAAGAGCAACTCCACCGAGAACATTAGCTCGATGGACTGGTGACTTCCCCATCCCAATAGCCCTAGCTGCAAGCTCCAACCCATGCGGGCGTGTGGGGCTGAGGGGGGCCCGAGCGAGAGGCCCAGCTCGAATTGGTGGCCTGAGAGCCTAAGGGTTGTGTGATGTGTGGCTGACGTCAGGGTGGCCCGGCTCGAATTCATCTGTTTTCCTTTGTTGAAATCTGGAAAAAGAATGGGATGCATGTAGGGAATTAAGCCCTCAAATTAAACCACAAGAATTGCAACACAACAAGATTTAAAGCTCAAGAACAAAAGATAGTGATAGAAACATCACCTGGGTTCGAGATTGAGAGCTCAAGCTCTCGGCTTCAATGGTAAGACCTCGCACCATGCACCGATGCCGCATGCAATGCCATGGTTGGGTTCCTTGAGTTCTAAGGATTCCAAAAATATTATTTTTGAGCTTGATTTGTTGAAGGTTTGAAGGGGAAGGAGGAAAAGAGTTCACGAAAGTGAGCTGGAAAAGAGGGAGAGAAAGAAAGGAAAAAGGAAGAGAGAGATAGAAAGAAGAGAGAGAGAGAGAGGAAGAACCAGTCAAATGAGGGTAAAAAGGGAAAATGTGATAGGGATGCCTGATGGATTGGGTGAGGAAAAAATACTAATATTTTATTGCTTATTGCATGGCTATTCAGTTTAGAGGTGGGGATGCAAAAGACAATTATTGTTCATTAAAGACAGGTACTGTTCATTGAGTGGATTCAATAGTGAGTTACTCTAAGGGGCCTTTGCAACGCTGGAGTTGCTCTAAGATTAAGGGCAAAAGTCTCACGCGCCCACGATGAATAGAGAGGCTTTGGCTGAAGAATCTTCAATGTCAAAGTTAGAATTTTAAGAAGAATGTGTTCGAGTGTTTGTGGGAAGCAAAGAACCTCTTTAGGGGTAGCTAAAGCTTATTGGATTTTGGAGATAAAGTGTGTATTTATAGGAGAAATGGAGGAAATGGGTCGGCCTTCTAGGGTTTAAGGGTGGCCAGGCCTTGGGTTGATGTTGGATGAGAATATTCAAAGATAGTTGTGTAAATAAATATCTTAAAGTAATTATGTAAATATTCTAAATAAATGAGATTAAGATTACTTACTTGAAAGATGTTTTCTCTGATAAGGATTACTTAAGCCGTCGTTGATCTCTGTCTACTTTACCTTAGCTGCGCGTGGTGAATGAGGTTGCTCCGGTTCATTTAATAAGGACTGTTTTGTCTTTCTTAAGAAATAATTCACGTGTCAACAAAATGATTTTTGAAATTATTTTTAACTCTACGCATATAATTCATATCAATAATCAATAAGCATATAACGCTATAATTCCTTATTAACATCACAAAATTTCATATTAAATTATCAATTAAGTTTAGAGATTTAAATTTGAAAATTAGGTACTTACCTTGTTATAGGCTTGGCTTGGAACTTTGATGTTGTTGGCTTGAAAGCTGGAAAGTGAAGGTTGTATGTGACGGAAGGGGCCTAATGGCAAAAGTGTTGTCTCCTCTGTCTTCTTCTGCTCTCTTCGTCGGTGGCCGTGTGTGCGAGCTGGGTGGGAGGATTGGGGGACGCGTGGTTCCCCTAATGATATTTTTTTTTTGGGTTTTTAATCAACCAAAACCACGCCGTTTGGCGTCTGATACGGTTAATTATCAAAACACCGCCGCGCGCAGTGCCGGCTGCGCAGCAGCAGAACCGTTCCAGATTTTCGGACGAAACCAGAGGGGCGACTACTCGCTCCTGAGCGATATTTCCGGCAAGAGGAGGAGTGGCCCTATGTAGTTTCGCTTCTGCCCTGTTTAGTATGATTTTGAACCGCATTCAAGTCAGTGCCTTGTCCGTGTTCTCTGATGTGATTTCATAATAATATAAAATTTGTAAAACTATATTCAATTTAGAATTTAAGATATTTAAATGGATTTACAAATTTATAGATTTTTATAGAGTTTAATTGATTTGTAGAGATTTTATGTAAAATGTTGATTGAATTTTCTCGAAATCTCATGAAAAAATGTGAAATTTGTGGATGCTTAAAATAAATTACAAGATCTCTCCAATTCCTTCTAATTCTTTAACATTTTCAAATTTTTTAAAATTAAATTCTAATTAAATATATCTGGATTTCTAATGATTTTAATAAACTATCTTAAAATCTTGATTGAATACATATTGAATTTTAGTGAATCACTTAAAATCCTGATTAAATACACTAGATTTATTAAAAAAATTAAAATTCATCAAAATTCCAATTAAATACACTTCCTTACGGGTAATAGAAAGCAACAACATTACTAGCCATTCAAATTATTCCCATTTTCTACATAAATTCCACTCGAATAATTTTTGAAATATGGTTAAAAAGGCACTGTCCAATGAAACGTATACATTCACAATGAAATGCCACTTCCACTACGCATTACTAGCCGTTCAAATTATTCCCATTTTCTACATAAATTCCACTCGAATAATTTTTGAAATATGCTTAAAAAGGCACTGTCCAATGAAACGTATACATTCATAATGAAATGCCACTTCCACTACGCAGTGTCGCGAGCAAACATTGATCATCACCACTGCCCAGAAAAATCACATACATGAACATCATAAATGGGCTGAAATTTGACAATGCAATCATTATTTAATTATTTGATTGATATTTAAAATTACATCCGACTCAGCCTCGACGAACCCAAACCCTTAGCCATCTGTCTGAGCACAAACTTCTGAATCTTCCCGGTCGAAGTCTTGGGAAGCTCGTCCTTAAACACCACCGTTTTTGGCACCATGTATTTCGGCAGCTTCTTCCTGCAATACTCCATGATCTCATTCTCGGTCGGCTTCGCCGTCACATCACTCTTCAAGCTCACAAACGCGCACGGCGTCTCCCCCCAAAACTCGTCAGGCCTCGCCACAACCGCCGCCTCGTCGACAGCCGGGTTCGCATACAGCACTGACTCCACCTCCACGCTGCTCAGGTTCTCGCCCCCGCTTATAATAACGTCCTTGGATCTGTCCTTGATTTCCAAATAGCCATCGGGATGAATTACCCCCACGTCACCAGTATAAAACCACCCGTCTTTCATGCACTTGGCCGTTCCCGATGGGTCCTTCAGATACCCGAGCATCACGCACCCGCCTCTCAGAACGATCTCGCCGATTGACATTCCGTCGTGTTTTACGCTGAGTCCCGAGTCCGGGTCAACCACGTCGACTCGGGTCATTCCGACCGTCCTCACTCCTTGCCTCGACTTCAGCCTCGCTCTCTCCGTCGCCGGCAACAAATTCCACTTCCCCTTCCACGCGCACGACACCACCACCCCCGCCGTTTCGGTCAGCCCGTACCCGTGACTCACCACGAAACCCATGGACTCGGTCCGGATGAGAACCTGTGCCGGCGGCGGCGCTCCGCCGGTTAGGATGTGTACCGGGTACTCGAGTTTCTCGGTTCCGGACCGGACGTTTGTGAGCATGTTCAGCACCACGGGCGCACCGCACATGTGGGTGACACGGTATCGTTTGATCAAGGCGTAGATGATTTGGCCGTCGAACTTACGAACACAGATGTTCGTCCCACCGACGGCTGCCATCCCGTATGGAAAGTTCCACCCGTTAGAGTGGAACATTGGTAGGGTCCACAGGTACACGGGTTGTTTGGGTACGCCCCAGTCGATCAGGGAATCGACGGTGATGATGAAAGCGCCTCTGTGGCAGTGAACTACTCCCTTGGGAGACGATGTGGTACCCGACGTGTAATTCAGCGTTATCGGGTCCCACTCGTTCGACGGCGGGACCCACTCGAACCCCTCGTCGCCTGTCTCCACGAGGTTCTCGTACGTGCAGAGGAAGTGGTCGAGTTGTGCTGCGCGTGACGGCTCGCCGGAATCGTTGGCGATGAGGACGAGTCTAGGGGAGGGGGTGTTTGGCGGGAAGAGAGAGATGGCTTCAAGGATTAGGGATTGCAATTCGTAGTCGACGAAGACTAGTTTTGATTCGCTGTGGCGCAGGAGTAGGGAGACGGTGCGGGTGTCGAGGCGGATGTTGATGGTGTTGAGGATGGCGCCGGACATGGGCACGGCGAAGTGTAGCTCGTACATGGCGGGGACGTTTGGGGAGAGGACAGACACCACGTGGCCTCTGTCGATGCCAAGGGATGATATGGAGGAAGCGACGCGGAGACAGCGACGGTGGGTCTGCGTCCACGTGTAGGTGGTGTCTTCGTAGACAACGGAGGGGCAGTCGCCGTAAACGGTGGCTGCTCTTTCCAGAAATCCCAAGGGGGTTAGAGGAGATGAGTTGACTGACGTGGGCTTCAGGTCTTCCATTATTTCTGTATGGAGTTGTTCACGGATGGTCTGAGCTAGCTGTGTTGTTCTGATGTGGGTTCTGTCAATGGAGAGTGCCTTGTTTAATATATAGAACGGAATAGATCCTCTTCGGATAGAATCTGGAAGATCAATTAATCGTATTCATTTATTATACATATTAAAAATTATTTTAAATTTAAAATTAAACATAAATAATATTTAACAAAAACTAACTCTATATGATAAAATTTTAACAAAAAAATCCGAAGAGAATTCTTGTTCAGATAGAACGACCTACTTTGGCCAAGGACAAAAATAATAACAAAAGAAGGACCACAAAGTACTGACAAATTTTGGTAATTTTTTTTTTTAAATTAATCATTTCGTCGTGCACGTTGTGTCTACATGGCGGAACTTGTTTTGTTCTTATAAAGAGTTGAAGTCTTGCTAAAATATTCAGTGTCAATTGTTTTTTTTACAACTGTTAGATTAAAAGGTCTTTCTTGAGTTTTAGTTCGGGTGTCTTCATCCCTCTATTCTTTTTTTTTTTTTTTTTCCAAGATACTGGCCACTTGAAAAGTTTTCTTTGTTATGAGCTATAACCTAAATTACATATTAATAAAATTTTGTTCGTCAATTAAAATTCTATCAAATTACCACTCTAACTCTCTTATCAGAATTGAACAAAGATAAAAAAAACATAGACAATTTAGCAATTACGCCAAACTCAAATTTTACTGTTATTTATACTAACATCACAGCTATGTAAATATAACATATCCTATTTAAAAATTAAAAAGTAAATAAATAAAAGGTAAATTACATTTTCATACATTAGGTTTGGGGCCTATTTCGATTCCTTACAACATCTTCAAAACATTTCACTTTTATACCTTAAGTACTATTTTATTTCAAAATAATACATCCGTTACATTTTCCATCCATGGATCCGTTAAGTGCTGACGTAGTTGTTAAATGTGTGCCACGTGGCAAATTTTTTTTTTAATTTTATTTTAAAATCTGACTTTTCTCAAAAAAAAAAAAAAAAAAAAAAATTAAAACCCATCCCATCTCCCCGCAACCACCCCCCACATCCCTAAACCTGCAACATCAACAACAAGAAAGAATAAGGAAAAAAATAAAAAATAAAAAACCTAGGAAACACAGATCCCATCACCCCACCCCCACCCCCCGCGGCGGCCGAAACCCCATTTGAATTGAATCTTCAACCAGGAAAGAACAAAAAAAAAAAAAAAAACTTACAAAACCCAAAACCACCCCCCACCCCACCATGTTTCCCATCTGTAACCCATAAAAGAAGGGGAACAAAAAAATAAATAAAACCCATCCCATCCGCAACCCAGAAAAGAAGGGGAACCAGAAAAAAAGAAGGAAAAAAAAAAACAAAAAAAACCCATCTCCTTTTCCCTGCAATCCAGATCCCGTCTTCTTAATAAGTGTGAATTTAAGGAGTGGGATGTGTAGAGGAGGTGCGTGGGTGGGTGCGGAACAAGATGGCTTTTTTTTTTTTTTTTTCCCCTAATTCTTCTTCTTCTTCTGGGGTGGGGGTGGGGGTGGGGGAAGGAAGATAAAGTGGGGGTTGCGTTTGTTTTTGGTTTTTTTTTTTTTAATTTATTTTTATAAGAAGATTTAGGTTTTAAAAAAAAAAATTATTTTTTTACCACGTGACATATATGTGGCAGTCACGTTAGCACTTAACGGATCGATGGATAGAAAATGTAACGGATGTATTATTTTGAAATAAAATAGTATTTAAGGTATGAAAGTAAAATGTTTTAAAGATGTTGTAAGGAATTGAAATAGGCCTCAAACCTAAGGTATAAAAATGTAATTTACCCATAAATAAACCTCACAATTTCTCCCTCTCTTACTCACTCTTCCGTTTTTGTATTTGTATTTGTTTTTTTTTTTTTTTTTTTTTTTTTTTTGAGTTGTCAATTTAGTTGAACATGTGAAGCTTGTGTGCCAATTGCTAGTAATTATGAGGTGAATAGACACTAATAACTTAAAAAGTAAAAGACTATATTTAGCATTCAATATTTAATTATTTTGTAGGGATAGAAAAATGGCTTAATTGCAAATCAGGGAGAGGATAGAAAATACTCTTCTGAGTAATGATATTCATACTATATTTTTATACTACATTTCTATGCCACCTTAGGTGGCATCTGATATGAACAGCTACATCATTTGAAAAATTTGTAAAACCCAAGAAAAGGAAGAAGAAAGACTCATCGTATATCACAATTATCATTTAATTAACTAGTTTTTCTTAATTATTAGTTTATTAAATAATGAACTAAATTTAAAAATCTGATTAATTCAAATTATGTGGTTGTCCACATTAAATGCCACCTAAGATGATATGAAAATATGGTACAAAAATATGAATGAATAGCATTATTCAATTTTTTTTTTTTTTACGACAGAAGATGGCGCCTGGTAGGGCCAAATTAAGTAAAAGGTGGATAGAGAAAAGGGCAAGCATGATACACGAACACAATCCATCTTCTTCATTTTGACGGCAGCGCTGCAACTCAAAATTCCAGACTCCAGCAAATAAAACCTTACTGGGATAATAGTGGGGATACTTGTTTATTCGGTATCAGGCCATCCCCCTGACTCGTCTAGCGCCCCCCACCCATATACCCCAAAAAAAAAAAAAATGTGAGGCGACCAGACGGACCTCCCCCCAACCCCCCAAAAAAACACAAAAAAAGAAATGTGAAGTGACCAGCACCCACCCACCCCCCCCCTAATATACCCAAAAAAAAAAAAAAAATGTGAGGTGACCAGACCTCCCCCAACCCCCAAAAAAAATGTTTTAGGACACATATTTGGGCTCTTAATCATGTTTTAGGAAAGAATTCTTGATATGATTAATGGTTATCCACCCCACCCTCAAATCACAAACATACACACCTTCCCCACCCCAAACTTAGTCCCCACACACCACATATCTTCTAGACTGATTAGTTATAAGATCCTTACAATAAGCAACAAGAATAGTTGAAATTGTTATTCTACAAGGAGCATCATAATGCAGCTACAAAACAGTAGATAAAATATCAACCAAATAAATCACGAACAAAAAGTCATCTTTGTCAAGATATCAACCAATTAGCAACCCTGATATACATAACGATCGATATATCTCAACCAAATAAATCACAAACAAAAAGTCATCTTCATCTGTCAATCATGTTTCTCTTTAACAAAATGTATATTAACAGCCTTAATATACATAACAATATCGTTGAAATCACCAAGAAAATGAAAACATAGAAAATTTTATGTCATGTGAAGCCTTCAAACATACATTTTTTTATCAACGTGTTTTCTACTTTTATTGGTTAAAGTTTTGTTCTACGATAGTAGATAAGAGTGACATGGAAAACTTGAAAAAAGAAATCATCTTAGTTCATATACATTGAAAGTGATTCGGGATATATTTAAAATTTTTAATTTACATTTAAAAATCTTATGGGGCCTAAATAATCATTTTATATAAGGGTGTATAAGTCATTTAATAAAAAAATTTAATGTTGGGAGTATTTAATAATATGTGGAGTGTTAACAAAAAAAACCATTCACCAATAAAATAATAGCTCTTTTGATGGATTTAAAGGGTTTGTAGAGTTCGTATTTAGGAATATATTTTATTTTTGAATAGTGCTATATTTACCATTTATTTGTATTATCTATCTAATAGAGGTAGGACCTACTAACGTATATAAGTCTCATCTCTCTTAATGAGATGATACAAATGATGGTACAAAAATTAAAAATGAGTTATATTATATAGGAATTATAAGGTAATGCTAGAGAGACCAAAATTTTAAACAAAAATTGCAAACCAAATGATGTGTCACAAATAGGAAATAAGCATGTTAATCAACGCTTAAGTAATAATCCAATCATCAACAACGACATCATTTAGTTTGCAATTTTGGTTTAAAAAAATTTGATCTTTCTAGCATTATCAAAATCATGTGACTTTGGCAAGTCGTTTGATCTCAAACCACAGGGGAAAAAAAACACAAGCTATAAAATCGAAAGATCTACAAAATTGCAGTTTAGACAATCTCCAAAGGAAATGTCAAATTATAAGAGTTAAATTACAATTGATGACTAATATAGTTGTCACATCCCGGCCCAGGGCGAATCACTTCCCAGGCCTGCTCCACCATCGTAGCACGATATTGTCCGCTTTGGGCTTACCATTCCCTCACGGTTTTGTTTTTGGGAACTCACGAGCAACTTCCCAGTGGGTCACCCATCATGGGATTGCTCTCGCACGCTACTCGCTTAACTTCGGAGTTCCCATGGAACCCAAAGCCAAATGAGCTCTCAAAAGGCCTCGTGCTAGGTAGGGATGAGAATATAAATATAATGATCACTCCCTTGGGCGATGTGGGATGTCACATAGTAACTGAAGCCTTATGTCAAATTTGTATTTCTCCAACTGAAAATGTTATTTTTATTATTTAACTAGAGCTTTAAATGGTTGTAGTTATTAAAAAAAAATGCTAAAACAAATTTTTTATTGGTTGATATGTTAGTAGAACAAGGGACTCACCATTAAAATGAATTAAAAATAAATTTGACATTGATATCAAATTTGACTCTAAATCACAAAGCCTTCAAATCCAGTTAGCAAATAACAATTCGGTTGGAGAGACTTTTGATGTCAAATATGCACAGTGGCATTCCACCTAAGATTTTGATGTCTCCTTTAGAGATGCTCTTACAAGTGACCAAACTCAAATTATAAGTTATTTAGTCAGTCAAACCTCCCTCGATTTCATTTGTTTCCTACAAACTGCATCAAAACGTACTTCCAAATTCAATTGATCAAGAAATTCACATGTTTTATAATAATAAATTATATCCTTAATCAGCATCCCTACATGAAAATAAGTCCAACAAATCCATATATTTCACTCATAAAAGTTAAAACATCCAAATCATTTAATGTAGAGATGCTCTTACAAGTGACTAAACTCATTTGC